CAGTCTGGGTGACAGAGTGAGACTCCAACTCAAAAAAAAAAAAGAAAGAAAGAAAGAAATGCCATGCTAAGTTATGTGTTTCAACGTTACTCTTATTATAATTATTATTTTTGTAGAGACAGTTTTGTATGTTGCCCAGGCTGTTTTTGAACTCCTGGCTTCAAGTGATCCTCCCGCCTTGACCAACTAAAATGCTGGTAATACAGGCATGAGCCACCATGCCCACCCTCAAGTTTATAAGTAAAGAAGCTGCCACTGGAAAGGGAATGATAGGATCAGAAGTATTTTGTAACACTGGTCACTGTAGTCCCAGCTACTCCAGAAGCTGAGGCAGGAGGATTGCTTGAGCCCAGGAGTTAGAAGCTGCAGTGAGCTATGATGGCACCACTGCACTCCAGCTTGGATGACAGAGTGATACCCTGTCTTTAAAACAAAAAACAAACAAACAAACACAAAAGTAGTAATTCGCTTGACTTAATCATTTCACAATGTATAAAAGTATCAAAACATCACTTTGAGCACTGTAAATATAAATCATTTTTATTTGTCAATTATATCTTAATAAAACTGAGGGAGAGAAATATTTGGGATGACTATTCTGGCAGCAGCACAAAGGATGGCTCTGGGAAACAGATGCTGAAGGCAAGAATAAAAGCTAGGCCATCCTAGTGAGCAGTGAAGAGAAACCCATGTGGGGTGGTAGAAACATAAGGAAGGTTCATCTGAGACACTGCAGAAGAAAACTCAGCAGAGCCTGCAGTCAGCTAGAAGGAGGAGATACCAAAGAAGGAGCCATGGAAGATGCTGATGCTGTGAGCATGAGGGGGACACCGGAGAAGTGGCTTGGGGAACAGGCCAGTGTTTGTGTCCTGTCACACTGAGCTGAGGTTCCTGGGGACCAATCATGTGGAGGTGACAAATGGACAGTGGCAAATTCAAGTCACGACGGAGAGAGACCTGAGCTAAGGCAGTATTGTCTAAACGCAGGCAAAACCTGACATTTGAGCTTTTGGTTGGAGTCATTAAGGAATAGAACATCTGGAACTGTATATATGCGAAAAATAAGAGGGCTTAGGAGAACCCCTTAATTTAATTTAGAAGGCAGACAGGAAAAAGACATGAACGCCAGAGGCCTGCAAGACGATGGTGCAGGGATGTGACTGAAGAAACCAAGAGGGCACAGGAGCAAGTGAGAGCAGAGCTCACAGTGGGTGAAGAACTGTCAAAGGAGTGGGCTGAAGAAATGAGGCTCGGCCTTGGGTCACAGCAAAGTCACTGGCAGCTCTGCAGTTAAAGATGGTGGAGCCGGAGAAGCCAAGCCACCATGGATCAGACAGAGAGTGGGAGATGAGGATGTGAAGGGAGCAAACGAGGAGACTTAACAAGGCTTGTAGGGAAGAGGAGAAATGAATGGGACATTAACATGAGGGGTGGCAGGGCAAGGGAGTGAGGTTTGTTTTGCAGGGAAAGTGAAGCATGTTTGAAAACCAAAGAGTCTGTGAAGAGGTACATCTTGAGGTGAACAGGATGCAGGGGTAAAGTGACTAACTCTGTTCCTGGAGGGTACTAGACGGACTAATTCATGGACAGCAAGAGATCCTTCTTCCTCACAAGGGGAAGAATCAGGAGGGGGAGAAGCCGGCCAGGGAAGGTTGCCCGGCTGGAGGGAGGCTGAGATAGCAGACCATGAGTAGGACATGTCTGGAGCCCATGCATGGAGAAGGCAGGAGAGTCAGCTAGGGGTGAAAACAAGCAAGAGACAAAGGGACAGCCCTGGAGTGCCCCTCAGGGAATTCCTCCATAGCAGGCAGAAGCTGTCGTGTGATGTGCTGAAGGACGACGGGCCACTGCTGTCTACATTATTTTCCATCTGATGTATTGAGTAGTCACAGGGAAAAGTGAACGGCCTGTTCCAAACAGCTCCCACGGATGAACCGAAGCGTGAATAAGACAAACTTTCTTTTGATGTCAACAAGCTGAAGAGCATCACTTAGTGTTGAAACCAGGTTACGCTGATCCTTTTCCATCTGATAGTTAACTTTATTATCATTACTTGTGGCTGAGTCACTCCAGGGCCTAAACAGAGACGGCCAGAGTTACCACGTGAGAGTAAAACGCTATAACATTAAAATAATTAGATGGTCACAAAGAAAGACCCCAGAAAGGCACTTTATAGCAAAAACCCGCGGGCCCTGAACCTGCAGACGACCCCGAATTCGTGGACCCGAACCCACGGCGGAGCCACGCGGGCGCACCAGGCCTCCGCCTTTGACCCGAACAGGGCACACCCGAGGCCTGGGAGCATCGGTCTCAGAAAAGCACAAGTTCTTCTTTGATGCAGCCCCAGAAAGGCCTCCCTGCCCCTCCCCGTCCCCAAGGGCCGGGCTGGACTGAGCGGCAGACTTGGCCGGACACCCGGTCACGTGACACCCGTGCGAACACACCCCCTCCCGGCCGCCCGGATCGCTAGCGGACTGCGCCTGCGCATGCCTTCCCGTCTCCAGGCAACGAGAACAACGGAGTTCCCCCCCCCCCCGAGCGCGCATGCGCGGCTCTGGGTGGGTTGGGGGTGGGCAGGTCTACAAAGCCGGGTCCTGGGGTTTGCCCACACCAGGAGCCTCCCCAGAGCCTCAGGTACGCAGAAGGACGGGAGTCGTGGGGTCAGCACCTGGCCTCCCGAGGGTCCGAGGGGCAAGACAGCGAGGACTTGTTTCCAAAGGCGCATCCCTCGTGGGCGCCCAGGTGACCCTACGGGACGGAACGTGACTTCCGCGTCCCGGATGTAAAGTCAGCCAGGTCAGGTGGCTCCACCTCTCAGGTTACAGACCTTCCGCCACCTCCGCCTCGGTGCTCCCTGGGTGAGAGCTGACAGCCAGGCACCTGCTGCAGGCCCCGACCTCTGTGCAGTTTTGGGGTCAAGCACGGTTCCAGCAGGAGGGAGGCCCTAGGAGGGGGGCCCTGAGCGCTGCCTGCGCTGGCCTCCACCTTTGGGCCCTCCTCCACTTCGGGGCCGCAGCTCTCATCTAGAAGGTGAAGGGGCTGGACGCGGAGGGAACACTTCCGTTACGAGGGAACACACTGAGGCCAGCAAAGGAAAGTCACAGGCCTAAAACCCAACTTGCAATCCCACGCTCTTTCCACCCCGTGCGGCGTACACTGTGTATGGCAAAGGCTGGTACTGGCGGAAAGGAAAAATAGGGGCAGGAGCCCCTGGATCCCCTTCGGTTTTCTGTCCTCGGGGCCTACCACAGTGTCTGGCATGTTCATCAATGCCTGTTGAACGAGAGAGCTGGCAGATCCAGCCCCACTGTCCCCAGTAAGGCTTAAGGGAAACGTGGGCAGGGCAACTGTAGACACAGTTTCCTTTAGCAACGCAGAGTGAACCTCAGACAAACTCTTCACTTGTGTCTGGTTTAAATCTCCCCCAGGCTTCAGTCCAGGCCCTGAATGGCCGGTCTCCAGCTGGCGCTAGTCTGCCTGTGGACGTATGCTCCCACACAACAAAACGGAAGCTCCAGGGCTCCACTCAGCCAAGCAAGACCCCTATGAACAAGGTGACTCCTCCCAGCAGTCCTCCATGGGGCACCTGAGGAACAATTTCCAGCAGAAGCTTTTGAGCAACAAAGAGCTGATGCTGGATAACATCTACACTCACCCAAAATGGAACACCAGCACAAAGGCCCAGAGCTCCTCCTTTCCCCACTGTGCTAGAGTCGGCCAGCAGAACCCAGGAAGCCATCCCCAGGGCCACGGAAAGGGTTTGCTTTATCCAACTGGCCCTCAGTCCCGGCAAGCCAAAACAAATAACCAGGGTTTCATTCCCTTTCCAAGAAAACGAGTGGGGGTGGACCGCGCATACCCCCTGAAACCTGTGGTCCACCGGAAATCTCATGGTACCTGCGAGGCTGGCGTTGATGGGAACCAGAATGTCCACCCAAGACGCCCTGAGCCAAGAGAGTTTTCATATAGCAACTTTGGTTCGAGGAGCCGGGTAAAAGCGTCATCTGGAGTTGGTTCTGTTCTGGGCATGGCAAACCTTGACAGGTCAGAGTGGATGCAGATCCGAAGACTAGAAGCCACAGGGGAGAGCTTAGAGGAGGAAATCCGAAGAAAGGAGATTCTCCTGAGGGAAAAGCTGAAGAAGACAGAGGGGGAACTCAGAAGGATCCAGAAGGAAAAGGAGCAGGCAGAGGAAAATGAAAACCGAGAGCTACAGGGCATGAGACTTCCCAGGAGGAGAACTAAAGGTGGTAACAGCAACATCACATACAAACCCATCTTCTCCCCAGAGCTTGTGTCTGAGGAGGTGTTCAGTAGAGACTGGAAAGAGGATGACACCTGGGGACAGTCTCAAGAAAATTCCAGTCCATTCCAGTTTGATTATGGAATCCAGAGGCTCAAAAGGAAAAGTCTGGTGGCACGCAGTGACAAAATCCAAGGCCGAGTCTCGGAGCCATCCATGGAGAAGCTCTCCCAGCCTTCAGAAGCACTGGGCGGTGCTCCACAGGGACCAGCCAGAAGTTCCAGCCTGTCCAGGGCACCAGACTCCTCGGGGTCCAGCGACTCCGCAGAAGAGCCAGCGCTGGGCGAGTGCAGCCACTGTGGGCGCAGGTTCCTCTTGCTCAGGCTGGAGAGACACTCCAACATCTGTGGCAGGATGTGGGGTTCCAAGAGGAAAGTGTTTGACTCCTCCAGGGCCCGGGCCAAGGGCACAGAACTCGAGCAGTACTTGAATTGGAAGGGACCAGCTTCAGTCAAGGTAATGAGAACCTCATGGATTTGACTTTTGGGGGGGATCATGGTAAGGTGTTACGTCCTCACCAGTTTTCTTTAGGGAAAATTCATGTGTCATATGGAAAGAATTAACATCAATGATGAACATTTCTTGATTATTTCTATATGCCCCTTGCTGTAATGGCTGCTCTTCATCAACTCTGTGAGAATCTCGTTCGCTCTCATTTTGTCGATTCAAAGATCAAGACTTGGACAGGCTGTGTATTGCTTGAGGTCATAAACAGTGGTAGGGACAGCAAGTTAATCTTGGTTGGAATGACTCCAAAATCTAGACTTAAAATATATGTCCTTTTGATTATAAAAGTAGTAAATGTTTACTGCCAAAAATTGTAAAGATACCAAAAAATCTAAAGAAAAAACATGCAGCATTTCATCACCTGGAGAGAACACCTCGCTGTTTGCAATATACTGTCCCTCCCAAGACTTGGATCTGTTACCACTCCTTTAATACTGGCTCAATTTGATACAGCTTTTTAGTAAATACATGAAGTGCAACTGAGTTTGGACTTCTTTTTCTCTCCATTTAGAGTGTTAACACCTTGAAAGTAAAGGTGGCTACCTTTTGAAATATTTCTCGCTTTAGAAAAATCAGGTTGTAAAAAGTAAGGGCTTCAAGATACTTATATGGTGATTTTAGGTGAATTTCTTTCTATTTTTTTTTTTTTTTGAGTTGGAGTCTCACTCTGTCGACCAGACTGGAGTGCCGTGGCTGCTCCCGGCCACCGCAGCCTCGACCTGCTGGGCTCCAGCGATCCTTCTGCCTCAGCCTTCCAAGTAGCCGGAATTACAGGCATGTGCTACCATGCCCGGCTGATTTTTTTGATTTATTGTAGAGATGAGGTCTCGCTGCCCAGGCGGGTCTCGAACCCGCGGGCTCAGGCAATCCACTCACCTCAGCCTCCCAAAGGCGCGGGATTATAGGCTGAGCCACTGAGCCTGGCTTAGGTGAATTTCATAGGCACATTTAGACATACCTGGAGAAGGTTATCTCATAAATAACCTAAATGTCAAGGTTTTGCCACATGGTTTGTAAAATGAGTATTTCTCAAAGTTTGGCATGCTGACACACTTTTTAAAATTATAGTTTTAGTGTTTTATTAGAAAAATGTGGCTGGGTGCAGTGGCTCACGCCTGTAATCCCAGCCCGAGGCAGGAGGATGGCAGGAGGATGGCAGGAGGATCGCTCGAGGCCAAGAGTTTGAGAAAAACATATTAGTAGTTTAGTGTTGTATTAGAAAAATATAAAATATACTAAGTCTCTGAGTTCCAGATATCATGAATTTAAAGAAAAGTATTAATTAAGAGTAAGGAGGACACAGTGAAAGTGGCATGAGAATGATCGAAGATTGAGAACCCCTAGACCATGTGATCTCAAAGGTCCCTTGTAGCTGCAGAATTGTACAAAAATAAGGCAGTGTCATTTGTCTTCATTTCTTTCCAACCCTCCCTCTACTGTTCCATCATCTCCTATCCATCCTGACTTTACAGTCTATGTGAGCATTTTCTGGGGCCTTCAAAAACTCATACTTAAGTGACAGCTATAAGGAGAAATTGCTTACAACGAGAGTTTTTCTTGCAGGACAGTTTGGGAGATCACCACAAGAAAGTCCCTTCCGTGTTGAGAGATAATCTCCCTGAAATCTGCTCTCCAAAAGAAGTCAACATTTTGCTCTTGCAGAGAATGACATGATGACCTGTCACAGTTCCTTCCTGTTTTCTTTCTGGTCAACCCAATAGTCCACTAGGGGATTCACTCTGTCTTACCATAGGGATTTATTTTTGGTCAGAACCTAAAAGAATCTTGGGTTTCTTAAATTTCTAAATATAGCCAGTGAAGCAAAATAATTGGGTTTCTGAGATCAGATGCCCCAGATTTGTGGACACTAGCTTGGGGGAAGGCAGAAGAGACCACCTCCTGGCAATGTCTCAAGTTGCATTCCGCTGTGTCTTTGGGAGCTGAGTGGTGTTATCCTCCTGCCATTCCTTTTTTTTTTTTTTAGATTAGAAAATATAGTTTATTTAGAAAGTAAATTAGAGAAAGAAAGAGGAGATTCACCTCCCCAAGGTAGGGGAGGGGGCCAAAGCCAGGAAACGTGGCCTGGCCGCAGCTCAAAGAGCATATGGCCACACCATAGCTTAGCAAGGCAATGGCCTGGCAATGGTGGTGGCAATGGTCCTCCTGTCATCCCTTTAGTGTTCTCACAAGAACAGGTGATTTTCCTGGTATCCTTTAATTTCCATGTCACTTCCAGCAGACTTGTAACTCTTGTCTCTCTACTGGACTGTAAGCATTTGAGAACAGGAAACACATCTTTGTGCTTAATAAGTGTTTACTGAGTACAATTTCAATATGATGACAAATTAAAGTATAGGAGTTAAGGAATAAGAAGTTAAAGTATATCATACACTTGGGGATCTTCCCCCTAAATGAATTATTTTAAAGATTCCTAGATTCGGCCAGGCTCAGTGGCTGTCTGTAATCCCAGCACTTTGGGAGGCCGAGGTAAGTGGATTGCCTGAGCCCGCGGGTTTGAGACCAGCCCGGGCAACTTGGTGAGACCTTATCTCTACAATAAATCAAAAATTAGCTGGGCGTGGTAGCGTGCACCTGTGGTTCCAGCTACTTGGTAGGCTGAGGCGGAAGGGTCATCTGAGCCCAGCCCAGTAGCAGGTCGAGGCTGTGGTGGCCTCATATGAGTGTGCCACTGCACTCCAGCCTGGGCGACGGAGTGAGACTCCTACTCAAAAAACAAAAACAAAAAAAAGGTTCCTGGATTCTGTCTCTGACACTGACTCTTTCCTTCTTGTCTGTTTCAGTAAGAGACTTTCCTGATGGAGCCGCCTTTTCCTTTGGTAGTTAATGTCTTCTCTTCCTATTATTCATCATTAGTGATATCAGATCACTGTGAGCTCTTGGACTTTTAAAAATTCTTTTAAGAATTTATTTTAAAGGCGGGCTTGGTGGCTCAGTCTGTAATCCCAGCGCTTTGGGAGGCTGAGGTGAGTGGATTGCCTGAGCCCG